TCCCGGGGAGACGCCCGGTGAGCAGGGCGGGCGTGCCGTCCGCTCCTCACAGGAATGGAGCCGCAGGAGGCTCCCAGGGGCCACCGGAATTCTGTACCCACTCTCCACGTCTGGGAGGGTCGCAAACCATAGCCAGGCAGCACCCCCGCCACACGCTCTTTCATTAACCTTTCATGCGTGACGATAAAGCAAAACTACAGAATCAAAGAAAAAGTCCGGCCTGCACCTTCCTTTCCCCATTCTGTCCTCGCAGCCACAAAGAGAAGGACAAGGTCGTGTTCTCAACTAAGCTTGTCCCAAGACAGAGCAGAAACGGAAGAATCAACCATCCCCTCTGTCTTAGTGACAACAGGAAAGAAAACCAACTGTCCCCACCGTCTTAGTGACAACGGGAAAGAAAACCAACTGTCCCCGCTGTCTTAGTGACAACGGGAAAGAATCTCAACTGAACGTATCTTCTTCGTGACAACGGGCCCCCTCTGTCTTAGTGACAACAGGAAAGAAAACCAACTGTCCCCGCCATCTTAGTGACAACGGGAAAGAAAACCAACTGTCCCCTCTGTCTTAGTGACAACAGGAAAGAAAACCAACTGTCCCCACCGTCTTAGTGACAATGGGAAAGAAAACCAACTGTGCCCACTGTCTTAGTGACAACGGGAAAGCATCTCTTGTGAACGTATCTTCACGGGACAATCTCTTCCATCAAGGGGTTTTCTTTCTGACTTTCCTGACTGGCACTCGCGCAGGCAGAAACCACTGTCCCTGTCTTACAATGCCATCTTCTTACTCTGACTGCTGTTCTTTTTTTTTTTTTTTTTGTTATAGGGCGTGTGCGCTCACCAGACAGACAGACAGACATAGAGACAGAAAGCGAGAAATCACCCCCCGGGGGGGATGGCCTCGCCGCAATCCTTTCTCCTCCATTCTCCTCTTGGGATCTTGGGCACGCACACACACGCGCCCGGCGGGAGTTCTAAGCCACCAGGTCTGGGACGCGAACCGTGGTCGACTGCGTGGGAGTCCAGCGACATAGCTATTACGCTAACTGCTGGTTCCCTCTGACTGCTGTTCTTGAAAGCATTACTTAAAATAAGTATAATTTCAAATGAGATACTATTGTTGCCGCCTTTTATGCTCGTCTCCCATGACAACGAAGGCCCAGGGAGGGCAGAACTCCTGCTTGTTACTCTGTTTCCTCATCTACAACTGTGCATGGCCCGCGGTGTATGTGCCACTACGGTGTATGCGCCACATCTGTGAGACACTCAGGGTCCGAACCAGGCGCTTCTCTGAGCACTGGCTCCATGTTCAACGTAGGGTGGCTCGATGTTCAACGTAGGGAAGGGTCTAGCCGCAGGAGAACCCGGGTGGAAAACAATGCAGCAGCTGTAGCAACAGGTGCTTCACCTCGGAGACCAGCCCCAGGGCCTCGGGTGTCCTAGGTGGCTCTGGAAATGCACGCTGCTGCTGAGGAGTACAAATGGGAGCCTGGCTCAGGCCCTCAGGGGCACACGTGGGTCCAGAGAGGGCGTCTGCCCTGGGCAGGCCACGTGAAGCCCCCTCGCTTGCTCTCAGGGTGGGGTGGGAACTGGGGACCAGGCTAGTGGTCAAGACTCCTTAAAAACAGCAATGGCCTGCCACCTGTGTAAACGTAATGTCTGATAAGTGTATATATTTATAAACAGCACAGATCAGGAAATGAATTTGTGACCAGCCTGTGACATGGTGGTTAGGGCCGCTGGACCCTGCGGTTTGAGTCCTGGACCTGGAGGCTTGAAGAACACGGGTGTGTGTGCCCACCCCCTGGAGAGCGTGTTCTCTCGTTCCTGTCTCTCTCCCTCTAGGGAACGCACATGCCCTTTGGCAAATTAAAAAAAAAAAAAAGAAAAGAAAGAAATTTTAATTTTAAAAGAAAATAAATACCTAATAAATAAGCATTTGAATCAATAAAGAGAAATGGAATATCCAATACATGATATAGGGACAAAGGATTTTTCAGTCATTTTAGAAGAAAATCAATTTAGAAGAAAATGAAACCATATCCCTAACCTATACCATTAAAGAAAAAGTTCCAAGAGGATTATAAACTGTAAAGCGAAGAGAACAATTATGAAAATATTAAGAGAAAATATTAGAGAGTTTTCTTTTTCTTTTTTATCAAGCTTTTTAAAAAGTAATTATTTATTTTATTCATTCATTCATTCATTTTTAAATTTGACCAGAGAGAGACAGAGAGTGAGAGAGAGGAAGTGAGACAGCAAGCCACCAGATTCAGGACTTGAACCCTGGTCGGCCATGTGGGCATGTCCACTGCCTTAACCACCACACCACCTGCTGGTTCCCTAGAACCAGGGTTGGGAAGACCTTCCAAAGTAGTCACAAGTTGAAATGAAGGAAACAACGGAAAAAGAAATTGCCTCTTTCCTTTGTCCAGATGGCTGGGGTTAGGGCTTGCCCACCACTCGGCCTATGCCACCACTGTTCTTCAGCAAGGTCTGGGCAAGGGACCACACGGCTCAGCCCTTGTCCTTAGGCCAATGGCCTGGTAGCCACGCAGGAAATGCTGAACGCCAAGGCTTGGCAACAATAATTGAACAATCAAGTCGATCTGGACCTCTGATACAGTAGGTTTAACTACAAAAAAAGAACATTGCTTTCATCTTCTCTCCAAAGTGAGCACACTAAAGTAAGAAATAGAAGTACTCCAGGCCAACAAGTCTGGTCAATCTTTTTTTTTTTTTGGAGAGGTTTTCGCTATAGGGCGTGTGCTCACCAGACAGACAGAGAGAAACAGAGAGACAGAAAGCGAGAAATCACCCCCCAGGGGGGATGGCCACGCCGCAATCCCTTCTCCTCCATTCTCCTCTCGGGATCTTGGTCACGCATGCACACGCGCCCGGCGTGAGTTTAAGCCACTGGGTCTGGGATGCGAACCGCGGTCGACTACGTGGGAGTCCAGCGACATAGCCATTACGCTAACTGCTGGTCCCAAGTCCGGTCAATTTTGAAATATATAGCATTTTGAAATACACAGTAACTTAAGAGTTCAGTGACAATCAGAATCTAGAATTTTCTATTAAGCCTCTTGCCTCTCCAAAACCAGGGCCCCTCATTTCAGGGGAAGATAAAATATCAACAGTTCAAACGACAGCAAAAATAAACTCAGTGGAAAACGGAGTTCAGTGACAAACACTAACGGTTTTGCTCTGAGCACTGCATGAGATGCTTGTTAGCGGTACTAAGCTCACAATGGGACCCAGGAATGGTAATTGCAGAGGGCCTGAAGCAGCTGTTGAGTATGTGATGTCGGAGGCTGAGGTGTGGATCAAATAAAAACGACAACCTGACTGTCCTGGTTGCAGCACCGACGGGCCGTCTCAGCCAGCGGCCTGGACTACCCGGTCCCCACACTGACAGACGGAGGCTTCCCGGCACTCGGTCAGAACTGCTCTGACCCCAGCAGGCTCCCACGGGTAGTCTAACTCTGCCCCATGGTTGGAACTGCCCTGCACGAGTACGGACAGCTGCTTACTCGTAAATCACAAACAAGGGCGCCGTCACACTGATGGTACAGTGCCAAACCAACACAGTAAAGAAGTTTAAGGAGGGTAAGGTATTAACTACGAGTTAGTAAACGGGAAGCGTGTAGACCGCCCCCGGGTATAACCGACTCCCCGCTACTGTTCAGTCATCGGAGACGTCATGATGCATGTTTGCATAGGAAAACAGAAAAATCACGTCATGACTTTCCTGACCACCTAATATTATTACCGGAATCCAGGGTACCTTACAGAAGACATCTCCACTCTTCCCAGTACAAGTACACATGTGGGGACAGAAGGCCATCTTTCCTGGGCCTACTGTGCTGGGCTCAGATGTCTGGGCTGGCCCTGAGAGCATCGGAGTCCTGTGTGTGACCCAGGGCTGGCATACACTGGTTAAACGCCGTCACTTACCATATGGACGACTTCTGGGTAAATGGGCTCTGTGATCACGTTCCGATTGTGGGTGATATATTCTACCATTTCACTTAGAGCAGCTCGTTTTACTTCCTTCCACTTTAGGTCACTTAGTGGATCGGAAACAAAGTCAAAGAGGACACAACACTGACGTAACTTCTGGATAAAAAGCTTCTCTTGATCAGCAGGAGGAACATCTGAAAGGCAGAAAGCAAAGTACATTGATCGCAAATACGCTCAACCCCAAGTTACCGTGAAAAACCTTAAAGCCTTCTCCTATTTTCATTTTCAATGAACAGAGATGCTAGAAAGCGACATTGGGGGCAGCTGGCGGTGTGGCGGTTAAGGCAGCTGGATCCCACATGGCCAACTGCGTGGTTTCACTCTGAACCCGGAGGCTCGAGAAACATGCCAGGATCGTGTGTGTCCGAAGTCCTGGGACGAGAATGAAGGAGAAGGGACTGCGGTGTGGCCATCCCCCGGGTGGGGGGGTGCCTTCTCACTTCCCCTCTGCCCTGCCATGTATCTCTCCAGTGAGCACACATGCCCTGTAACGAAATTTTTAAAAAACAAAAGAGAAAGGAAAATGACATTGGGTAGGGGTGAACAGAGGTTAAACATTCCTTAACAAAAATGAAAAGCCGAAGTCACTGCCTTAGATCAGCTGTTTAATATGGTAAGGTTCTATGCTTCTTAACTCTTTAAACCACATCAAGAGGACTGTTCAGAATAAATGCCTCCACATGCACTCACTCAACAGATACTACTGGACAGTTACCACTTGACAGGCACCATGCTGGCCAATGGAACAAGAGTGAGAACACGGCCCGCCCAGGTACCTGAAAATGCACCACGGCACACAGCGTCAAAGACGATGGGAGGGAAGGGGCTTCCTTTGGCCTGCCCGGTGGCTCTAAACCTGGAACACACGAACGGCACAAGCGGCTGGCGGTCTTGCTGGGTCGGGGTCGCCAACGCATCACACGCGCCTGCCGGTCTGACTGGCTGCTCAGCACAGAGCCTCTGGCATCAGCCGGAAGACCGTCGAAACCAACCCTTAGAAATGCCAGCAAGAGTTACCACCTTAAGTGCTCCACAGAGCACACTGCTGGCTCGTGTTGGTCTACAGCCGGTGACATGGCGCTGTGTGATGGACGGTGATGGGATACAGACACAGTGATAACAGGAACAGTAACTGCTGCTTGGAGCGCTCACCTGGGCCAGGTACACCAAACCTTTACACTTACTGCCCGCACCCCACTTAGTCATAACATCAGAGATAAAGACCCAGGCCTAGAGGGTCTCTGTAGGGCTAGCCCGTGATGACGGTGGGTTCAGAGCTCTGTGCGCCTGCTCAGAGGGGTTCAAAAACTTCTGGGAGATACGGAAACCTTCTATCTGCCAGTGTGAGCTGGACAGCTTCCCAGGCTGCAGACGAGATCAGTGGTGGTATTAACAAATGTGATTATTGATACACGCACTAAAATGGGCCAAAGATCTACAAAATGTCTCAAAAGACTGGCATTAACTCAACGAACAAATGTTTTCCACATGATTAATAAATGGTGTTAAAATATCACTTGGGGCAAAGGAGCCATTCCAAAGTATAAGGTGGGCTGCTGGATTTTAGTGGAATAAAATAAAATAAAGTACAGATAACTGATGTGGTGTCAGTCTACGTTACAGATTCCTTTAAGAGTCTGCCCATGAGGCCAGCAGTGGAATGGTGGTTATGGTGTGAGGTTTCTATGCAGCCAAGTGCAGTTCTAGTCCTGGACCCGGTGGCTTGAAAATCATACTGGGTACGTGCGCATATGTACCCCAAATCTTGAGAATGGAGGAGGAGGGACTGTGGCACGGCCAACCTCGAGGGGTAATTTTTCACTTTTCTCTGTCTCTTTTCAAAGAGTGCACGTGCACTATGGCCAAAAAAAAAAAAATCTAAAAAAAAACCACCACACACACCATGCCAGGAGCATATGCATGTGTGTTCAAAATCCTGAGAGGAGAATGGAGAGGGATTGTGGTATAGCCATCCCTCCTTGGGGGCGGTTTCTCACTTTCCATTTCACTTTCTCTCTCCGGCAAGCACATGTGCCCAATGGCGAAAACCTAAAAAAACAAAAAACAAAAAACCAAACAGAAGCTACGTATTTGTTAAGTTTTGGTGTAAGATCAAGGAAAATGACCACGACTACCTGAAGAAGCTGTTAAAACACTCCTACTTTTCCCAGACACGTCTTCCTGGACTCCTGCCAGAGCAGCTATGGCAGGGGGCTGAGCACGGGAGCGGGAGGACCTGGCTGGCTCCTGGAAGGCTCTTGCAGATTGTGAAAATAGAAAACAACGCCATTGTTCTATTTTTTGGGGGAGAGTACACAGCTATTTTCATAAAAATCTGTTATTTCTGTTAAGATGTAATAGGTTTATTATTTTTGAACAAATAAATAATTTACATATTTAAAAAATGTTTCCTGGTTTAATTTCAAATATGGTCCACACTGACAGCTACACCCACAAACACAGAAACTCTGTGGGGCTCTATTCTTAGGAGCGTGAAGGTGCTGCATCCCCTGCCCTACCCTTCCTGACTGCCAGCCTCCTGCTCCTGCTCGTGTCCTGGCACTTCCTGTTTCCTGGGCAGAAATGACACGTTAGCGATTCCTCTTCCCGCCAGCACTTCCTAGTGCTTCGCGTGTCCTCCCAGCTGGGTGTTTTTAATCCGCTGTACCCCACTGCCGCTCTGAGCCGTGGGAACAGCAGGCACTGCTCCCTTTGTGGGCCCACTTTGCGGGACTCAGGTTTCCTATTTCCCATTTTGTGTGTGGAGGTAAGCACACGAGCAGGCAATGGGACCGGGCTCCACAGGCTAGCCGAGAGCATGAGGACCCAAACCTGATTTCTAAACCGTGAGCACTCGGAAACTGATCACTTGGAATGAGCAAACATCCTAACATGTCCAGGGGTCTTAACATTCAAATCCACAGCTCTTGTTAATGAAAAACTGAGTTACCACCTTACTCACCTTCAATCCTCACTCAATTTCACACCTGTGCTCACACCCCAATTTGCCAGAATCATTTTTTTAAAGAGATTTTAGGCATAGGATACATACATTTGCCAGAGAAAGACAAAGAGACAGAAAGTGAGAAATCATTCCCCAGGGGGGATGGCCATGCCGCAATCCCTTCTCCTCCTTTGTCCTCTTGGGATTTTGAACATGCATGCACACACTCCCAGTGTGAATTGTTTTTTTTTTTGAGAGATTTTTGTTATAGGGTGCATGTGCTCACTGGAGAGACAGAGAGGTAGAAAGTGAGAGATCACACCCCAAGGGGGATGGCCACGCCACAGTCCCTTTTCCTTCAGTCTCCTCTTGGGATTTTGGGCATGCATGTGCAAACACCCGGCGTGAGTTTGAAGTTGCCAGGTCCGGGACTCAAACGTGGTTGACCATGTGGGAGTCCAGTGGTGTAACCACTACGCCAGCTGCTGTTCCTGCCGGGAGCACCTTAAGTGAGCTCACATTTGTTGCCATGGCTTAAATATCTGGAACCTGCCCGGCATCCTCACGCATTGGCATTGCAGAGATTTAGGCACCCACATTTGCCCCAAAGGCCACCTCATACGCCTTACTCAGGACCCATGGACAGCTCACCCTCTGTTTATTTTTTTTATGAATTATTTTATTTAACTTTATTTATTTATTTATTTAAATTTGACCGGGAGGGGGGGTGTGTGGAGAAAGAGAAAGAGAGAGAGAGAGAGAAAGAGAGAGAGAAAGCAATGTCTGGGACTTGAACCATGGTTGGCCCTGTGGGAGTCTAGCACCCTTAACCACCATGCCACCTCCTGGCCCCAGACAGCTCACCTTCTAAGTGGTGCCCAGTTAACTCCCTTAGGAACAGTCCTCACTAAATCCTTTGGACGACAGTATGAGGCTGGTACTTCCTTCCATCTGGGGATGGCGACGCAGACCCCGACAGCTAATGTGGCTTGTCTGAGGCCCCGGTGCTGCTAAGTGGCCAAGCGTGGACAGGATAGGAGAGCACAGCTTATGTGGGGACTCACAACTCAACAGGACCCTACGATCATCTGGGGGTGGGGTGGTGGGGGGTGGTCTCAAAGAAGAGTTAGATAGCTCAAGAGCCCTGAAAATATCATCCTTTTTTTTTTGGGGGGGGGTGTTTCAGTCCAGAGAGATAGAAAGTGAGAAGTCACTCCCAGGGGGATGGCCATGCCACAATCCCTTCTCCTCCATTCTCCTCTCAAGATCTTGGGCACACAAGCACACATGTCCGGTGGGGGTTTAAGCCACCGGGTCCAGGACTCGAACCACGGTCGACTACATGAGAGTCCAGCGACATAGCCATTATCCCAGCTGCTGGTCCTCTGTTTTTTAAGCATAGAATAATAACTAATATCCAGAATAAAGAATTACCATCAAAACACAAAAATAAATCTATGATGAAGGAATATCAGAGTAAAAGATTCGTTTTCAAAAATTTCTATCCAAAATACTTCTAGGGGCCGGTAGATGGCGTGTGGATGAGGGTGCTGGATTCCCACAGACTACAGTTCAGGTCCCAGACCTGGCGGCTTGTTTTCTCATTTTCCGCCTCTCTCACTTTGTACCCCTCTGGTCAAATTAAAATAAATAAATAGAGTTAAATAATTCTCTTTTTTTTCCCCTGGGGAGGGTTCCAATTTTATTGGGGGCCCAGGGGAACCCTGTCGACTGAGGTGTTTGCAGTTCCGTCAGCCACTGCAGGCTGCAGCCCTGGGGGTCCTGGGGGTGGCTGGGCACGGTGGGCATGTTCCTGTCGCCTCGGAGGGGCGCTGGGCAGTTGTGGGGTGGTGTGCACCAAGTACGATGCAGTACGGTGTAGGGCTGAGTGAGCAGGACGAGAGAGGCCTGTGATGGAGAAGGATGTGACCAGCACCAGTTCCTCGGAGCGAGCATTCCTGAGGAAGGCGGCGAGTCGTGTGGCCATCTTGGACCAATAAAACAATTCTTAAAAAAAAAAAACAAACCAAAAAACCAAAACCCAAAATACTCCTAAAGACAAGAAAATCTCAACTAGCTGGGAATTATGTCAATTCTCCCAGGGTTCCAGACAGTTAAGATGTTACTGTTCTATTTTTGTTTATAGTCTAAAAATAGGTTTGTGATTATAATCTCATGAGCTCTTTTTTA